AATTTAGGTTATTTCATTGCAATTCAAATTATTTTTTGACGAAACAATAATATAAGTTTGTACTTTTGAAGAGATTCATCGTTAAATTCAATTAATTTTCCACTAGTGTGGCACAAAAAACACGTTTTCATTTTCAAAAATCAATAATAAAAACAGCATAATAGTTGAAAAGTATAAATATAGGTATTAGCGTCTTCACTTTTACAACGGAATAAACAAATTATGCGTATTGCAGTACCATGTGTTATGCTGCATCCTTGTCTACTACACGAAGCAGCGCGCGCATTTTTCTTCTCTCGCTAACTCTCATTTAGAACAAGAATAATACAAATACTAGCAACCACTATTTGCGGCTATTTTTTTACAGGCAACCGGGTTCAGAAAAAAATAAATTACAATTCAGTATATTATAATATAATAATATATGAAAAACACGGTAAGTGCAAATAATGAACAATAAAATACCTGTTCGCACCTGGCAACCTAGTGGCTGCCACTGATTGAGAGCTGGCATCCTTTTTTTTACATTTTTCACATCTTTTTCATTCAAATGGCGTTTGATTCATTCAAAAAACATATTGCTGGAATTTATTAAAATAAATCATTTACAACAGAGACAACCCAGCGAGACGTGTAACTCAATGTATTTTTTTTTTGTTCGGTAAAAGTTGTTTAGGCGATTGTAACCACAACCAGTCTATGATGGCGCCACTAGTAAATAGCGGGAATTTTAAAAATGCTTTAGGGCGGGAAATTCAAACATGGATTCAGAAATAGTTTTTCTATACAAGTTTACAGGAGAAACAAAAATATTGTTTCACTGTATATTAAAAAATATTAAAGCTTCCAATAACATCAAATTTTGTATCATATAAATAATCATTTTAATAAAGGAAGTTTTAATCAGTTTAATATAAGCAGTGAACATAGTTTTTATTACTCTTGTAAATTTCGCTATAAAAACTTGAAAATTCTATTGAATATTAAATATTTAAACTTGGAAAAATAATACACCAAACTCTTTTTCTATAAATTATATTTTTGTAAGGTAGAGAAAAACAAACTACAATTGCTACGTTTAAAAAGTACCTCGTATCATTTTGTGACAAATTACAAAGAAAGTCACAGTAGTTATATATTTAAAAAATAATGTAACAAATATTTTATAAAGTATAGAGTATATCGATACCTTTTTGCCAGACTATCATAAGTGCCATTTTAACAAATGTCGCTTACGTTAGTCTGGCAAAAAGGTATCGATATGTTATGACTGTTTATTTTAATAGAAACCATAGAAACGAAACAAACACACACACTCACACAAATGTATAAGTCCCGAGTCGAGTAGGTTCCCATCCTGTAAACTGGATCGAAACCTGCTAGACCCATTCCGTACACCCCCCTGCTAACTCCTCTTAGGGTCATCAAGATCAATAGATTTATATGCCATGCCTTCTAAAGGGGAATGGAGGATGACATACTATCATCATTTAAACAGGACGTTGCTGAAGGCTTACCCCTGTTATGTCGTCTGTTTGTGTATATTGTGCGTGTACATTCCTGTTGTACTTTTCAAACATAGCAAATAATAATATTAATAATAAACACTATTTAAAGATAAATACATTTTTGTGTTTTTTTTTCGTTGTCTCTTACCAGGGTATACCTATTTTCCTCCATTAATTATATATTACCTTACGATGTTTGAATGAATATAACATTTTACCCATGAAAAATCTAATTTCGAATTTGACTCTCTCAATTTCATTTGAAACAATTACAATTTATTATCAAGGAAATCTTCTAATAAAGTTATAGCAAAATCTACTTAAACTACTGGTTGTTTTGCAGGATAAATTAACTTTTCTTGAGATTGATCTCTCTCTAAAACCCAAAACCGACCTGATGTCCCCAAAATTTATGTTCAAATGCATGCTGATTTAAAATTCTGCCATTTTGTGATTCAATTTTTTTTCTTCGTTTAAATGACTCTACAATCTTCTAATAGCCACTAAAGTGGCTATTAGAGGTAGGTGTATGTAAGAAATAGCCAATCTCTAATCATTTCAAAAGTCCTTTGCCAATACTACATGTGCAGAGATTTTTTACTCAGCATACATTTCACTTCTTCTCTAGTATGTGGGACCTTTGTGTTGCCTTTAAAGCTCCCGAGACATTCATCCACCTACTTAATGAACAAAAGTAGCTGTAACAATGGATCTCTTCCAATTCACCTAAAATAATTATAGCCATTTTGTAATATATTATTAAACACACACATTATACAGTGGTTTTCTTAATAAATTGGAAATTATATTTACCTCTAGACAGAAACGTGTACAAAAACGCGAGTTTGGTTCCAAAAAATGCAAAAAATAATATGCGAAAATAAACATTCCTCCCCCCCCCCCCCCAAAAAAAAAAAAGAAAATTAATTAAACAACAAAATCAGACTCAAAGAAATAAACGGGGCCCAAATTAAATTAATTTTAATAAAATGCACACGTTCATAACAACATTCATAACATTGTCAGTTCTAATCGATACGTCGACGTCAAAAAACCAGCGACCTCTAAGATTGGTGTTAGTTTTATTGGAGAGAGATAAATATATGTAAAAGAGAAAGAAAGTAATATATGTAATTTAAATGGCCCACCGAACAAATTTTCCTATTAAGTTACACGTCTCTGATTACAATTTAATTAATTAACGGTAATTGCGGCTAAATTTTGATAGGCTACACAACGGCAGTGTATTATATTAATTTATATTTATTAAAGAAACATATCACTGCAAAAATACAGGGTGTTTCAGAATAAAGTACCGTAAACTGGGGAATTTGTAGATCTTAACTAATTAGTAAGTAAAGCTAAATATGATTTTCCTGTATACATCCCAATTTTGATTATTCAGGGTGATAGAGTGAATTTTATAAATTCACAATTTTCTAAATATCTTTCCTTACGGTAAAGACTAGCTTAAAAATATGTACCTATGTGTTAGTTAATCGTCATTATTGGTTAACACACTCTGTTTCAATAATTTACGATAACCATTTGGCGTAGAATCAAAGGCTAAGAATATAATTCTAATTTATTTACTACAATTTATCTTTTCTATACAGCACTTAAATTGAAACTTAACTTCTATCGACAAATTCGCTGTTATTTTTATAAAAGTGTAACGGCTCAGAAAGAACCAATCCTGCTAGAATAATCTCGAATCGTTCGCGAAGTGCTTCCCCTATACGTCAGCTGCATACCTGGAAGATTGCGGTAAAATTGCGCCCATGAGTCGGGTGGCAGACTTCACGTAGCGCTATAGATTGAAGAACAGAGTCGGCTCAGGCGTTCTCACGACACTAATCATAATCCAAACTTTCATAAAAGTTGAAATTAATAATTATATTCTTCACGCAATTTGTTACAAAAAGGGACTCTTGATTGAACTCTGTAGAACATTTCATTTTCGAAATTTTTCTGTTGTAGTCCTACTCAAACATGAAATCTATGTACATTATGAAATTCAAAAAATTTATATACTAAAAAAAATATTTACTCAGAACACTCATATTTCGTTTTTAGAAATAAGGGGTGATTCCATATAAATTTGTTAATTTGTAATTCGGGTCATATATAAACTTATTATATAAAATGATGTATTTATTAAATTTACTTTATCACCCTGTAGAATGAAAACTGGAACGTTTACAGGACAATTATATTTATATTTTCTTAATAATTAGTTAAGATGTACAAATCCCCAGTTTACAGTACTTTATTCTGAAACACCCTGTATAAAAAACTTCTGGTAAAAATAAATTAATAAACTATATTCATTATTGTGCCCAGAATAAAATCCAAATACTCTAAATTCAAATATTTTGATTGTATTTGTGAGCAAAGTTAAAAAATAATGAGTTCCCATAGCTTTGAAACTAGTATATACAGGGTGAATCCTAAGTTGATACTTTTTTATATGTGTATAGAAGTCATTAAAATAAACAACTCAAAAATAAGAAAGATGCAAAATTAAAAAATCTAAATCCGTGCCGACCTGTATTAAAAGCTGACCTGTTTGTTTTTATCCTTTTCTTTTTCGGATTTTTTATGTATCACGATTTACCGTGTACTGGATATTGTAGCGTTTGTTATCTAATTTCAAAGTTTGTTTATCTTGAAGTACCTAGTGAATAATTGTTCAGTATTTTTGGAAAATTAAAAAGTGCGTTTAACATTTTAAATAATGTTATAGCGGGTCAAAGAAAAGCGCCTAAAACATTGCGGGAAAATAAATTGTATCCCTTTCACGTTCAAGCACTACCGCGTGAAGATTAAGTTCAGTTTTGTGAATGGTTCTTAACAAAAGCCTGAATGTGATCAGTATTTAATTTTATCGACGAAAGTTTTACATTTTATGTAAATTAGACAGAACCGTATTGGATTCATTTTGGAATAAATTGTAAGTTTATTTTTTTAATTTTTTTGAAAAAGTTATTTGACAGTTGTTTACTTTATTGATTTTTATTCGCCCTGTATAAAAAATTTACTAAACTTGGCAGATAGTTTAATTGATCTAAAAGACACATAACTGCAAAAAATTCATTGACTTACTTTTGCCATGAGCGTACAGCAGCAGTATATATTCTGATATTTATATTCCTATTTGTTTTTGCATCTCAAATTGCATTATCGTAAACCACATTTTTTATGCATGAATATCTTGAAAAATATCAACTTTGCAGAAATGAAACAAGAATGGATTATTTATGGTAAAGAATATTGTCAAATTCAAAAATAAAACCAAAATAGAATTTTATTTTTTAACGCCGTGTAACACTTAAATGGATGATCTTAGGCCATATGTTCATTAAGTAAATCCTACTAATTTTTAAAAGTTCTATCGGCCGTATCATTTATACCATGATTTTTTGGAACACTTGGGCTTATTTCGTTTTGATAAAAGTTCTTCTGATTTATTTATTTTTTTTTTTTTTTTAGAAAATAATGATCTGAAATATACTGTTTTATGGTCTCCGTCCAGATTTAACCATTTAATATTATATGGCTTTTTGGTTTTTCTGTTATTTTTATACAGTTTAAATAAAATTCTTTGTAAGTGCTGCAGGCTTTTAAAGTGCTCACACAGAAAGAAAATTTACAGTTATTAACCCTTTAGGTAAGTCGACTTAATAAGTATATTCAATTTTGTCTGAAATTTAATAATTTACTTTATAATCAGTGGCGGCTAGTTCATGAGGAATCTGGGTTCTCTTCCTACCAAATTGGAATGTTTTTATATTTTAGTTTAGTTGTTCTATGCTATAGAGCTTTTTTTGTTCTCATTTGTGACTCTGGCCCTCCCAGGTATGTAAGGCACAAGCCGCCACTGCTTCTAGTTTCCGTCCGATTTTACTCATCGTGCTGTTAATTTATTAACTTATTTAAAGTAAACCTGTGACCATTGCTGCAGCATATGAGAATACAAAATATTTATAGATCTTTGAAATTATAAAATAATGTAAGCCTTAAGCAATCTGCAGCTTTATAATTGTAAGTCAGGGTTTTAAATTATTAGTTATCTAAGTTTTCCAACATTTAAATTTTCGATTTAATGGCTTATTTCATTTTTGACTTTAGCTTTTTGAACAAAATACTGATCTGAAATTATGTGGTCTCCGTCCAGATATACAACTTAAAAATGTTTATTAGTATTTAGATTTTTAATTTATAAGTAAAATTGTATAGTAATGTTACAATCTATTATGATCTGATGGGATGAGAAGCAAAATATTTTTGTCTTATTCATTCAAATTGATTGATTTTTAATTCTTTAATGGGTATAAAGGCAATTGTACTTTTGTTATTACTTCTTATAAAATTAGACAAATCTTTATATGGGTGATCCACAAAAAATGTTTCTAAGAAGACCTTGGAAAAATTGACGAATTGTTAGTTTGGATTTAATTTCTTGCTGTGCTTAGTTATCGCAGGCATGTCTCGTATTTATCTGTCTTTGTGGGTCATAGCCTACTTTAGAAATATTTTTTGTGGATTACTCTTTGTAAAGAGGTAACATATTATTGCAACATTGTACATATCTTTAATATTATTTACATTAGCCTTTTAGGTTTGTTGTATAAATATGAATATGAACAATTTATGAAATACTTTATTAGCAGTTAGCATATTTTTGTACCTGACCTCAATAAATAGCTATTTATATAAAATTTGTTTTCATTATTTCAACATTATTATCATTTACCACCAAAAACAATTTTGGAGACACAAGCGGTAAAATTTTTTTGTTCCTTTCTGAAACAATATCCAATTAAATTTAAAGATTGGTATATTTTTAGAATGAGTAGGTTTTATAGATTCAATAACAAAAACCAATATAATTTTTCAATTAAAAGTATTTTAAACTTTTATGTAAACTCTTGAAATGAATAAAAACGAGCAATTAATTTTTTATTGATATAATTATTGTTTCATATGTTGCACAATATCATCCTAAAAATTAATATAATAAAAAAAACTGCTTGACAAGTTATGGATAGATTTTAAATAAAGTAATTAAAAGGCGATTATAAAAACAAATATTTGAATTTCACAAAGTATATTCTTAACAATAAAAGGTAATATACAAATGAATTCTCATAAACAAAAAAATAACTTAATTGTAGCAGATAAATAATGGAAGTTTTAAAGGATTATTGAAGATGTTTATATTTTTTAAGTTTAAACATTGCTTATTTTATGGAAAACAAATTAGTTTTCAAAATTTAGAATAATACCGCTAGTTAAAATTAATCAACAATGTAAAAACTAAAATGTAGATTATTCATACTATGATGCAGTGATCACAATAAAATAGGAAATAACTTGCCCACTTGGAATATCTGAATAATTTTTTTTTCCTATTTTTGGAATTGTATATCTTAGTTTCCAATTTAATTAGCTTCAAATTTTATGGAGATTACTCTTTCAAAAAAACTTTTATGCATACAACCATTGTATTTAGATATCCTATTAGAACCTTATGGACGTTTCATTGGAGGTAATTCTGTCGCGGCATCTATTAGAACTGTACAGAACATCAAAATAGCTCATATGGAAGCGCTCCCTCGATCATTGAGTGTAGAATTCTATATACATAGTTTTCTTTATTTTTAAATACATTTGGGTACATTGCCAAATTTAAATTAATATTGTTATATTCTCTAAAATGACGATAAATTGTAAATAAATGTACATAAAAAATAATAAAACTAGTATATCTCATTTTTAAAACATATATTCGGTTCTTAATCAACTATGAGTCCAGAGAAATTACGTTCGATATTCAGTTACAACAACCGTTTGATGGTTCAGTAGAAGACAATAAAATTATCAAACACATGACTTGGACGCGATGGAGCTTGCTGCCATCTATTGATACTGTCCATTGTCCTCCAAGATAATTTGCATTGGCATTGTTCTACTAGGTTATCTAAATACAATGATACAACTTAAAAACGCCGATTTATGTAAACTCTTGAAATGAATAAAAACAAGCAATTCATTTTTTATTTATCTGTTTGTTTCATATATTGCATAATATCATCCTAAACATGAATATAATAAAAAAAGTAAAAAATGGTTTGACAACTTATGGCTTTTGCTTTTAAAATATTTAAAAGTCAATTATAACAACAAATATTTAAATTTTATAATTATACTCTTAAGAATAAACATTAGACTGGGCCAAAAAAATTGACTATTTTTTTTTTTAAATATATTGAGAATGTCTTTCAGGATGACAAAAAAAAAATTCTTGAAAATTTGAGCCCTTAATATTAATTTTAAGAGGTCTATCATCCCTATTTTTGATTTTTAGTCACAATTTGATGTTTTACGTTAGAACTGTCAAAACATTAAAGTGAAAAAAAATCATTTTCACTTATTTTTATATAAAATTCTCTACAAAAAAGGTCTGATTTAAAATTTTCATCAGACGAGCCGTTTCCGAGTAATTGAGCTTAATAGATTGATGTGTTTTTTCGATTTTTCCATTTTACTTTGAAATTTTGTAACTAATGAATTGATGAATATTTAAAAAAGCTCACGTCGGATTCTTAAAGGAAATTTAATGTTCTACAAAAAAGGTCTCTTAAAATGTTTGCCTAAATTTAATTCTTCAAAAGTTATTAACGATTAAAATCGAAGAAAAAAATTGAAATTTTTTGTAGAGAATTTAATTTTATATAAAAATAAGTAAAAATGAATTTTTTTCACTTTAATGTTTTGACAGTTCTAATGTAAAACATCAAATTATGACTAAAAATCAAAAATAGTGACGATAGGCCTCTTAAAATTAATATTAAGGGCTCAAATTTTTACGAAATTTTTTTTTGTCATCCTGAATGACATTCTCGATATATTAAAAAAAAAATAGTCAATTTTTTTGGCCCAGTCTAATAAACATTAATCTACAAATTAATTTTTCCCAAAATATAAATAATAAATAATTGTAGTAGGTCAGCCAAATGGAAGTTCTAAAGGATTATTCTCACTGATTGTTAAAATGTTTATATTTTTAAGATTAAAAATTGCCTATTTTTATGGAGATCCAAATCAGTTTTAAAAATTTGGAATATTTTGTTAACCAAACTACTTAGTTAAAATTAATCAACAATGTAGAATTTAAAAACTATGACACAGTGAGCATCACAATAAAATAGAAAACAACTAAAGTCTACTGAAAATATTTAATAGTTGTTCTGCATAACTGACTGGCTGATATGTAATCTTTAATTTTTAATGTATTACAGCTGCTATTTTTCTTTTTTGATTGACTATTTCAATTATCATCATTCTTAATCTTAACAGTACTTTGGTGTAGTTGCTTCTGAGATTTAATTCTATAACCACAGTAAGTTCTAAGAAATATACTTAAGAAGACTAGTAAAAGTCCTATAGCACCAAATATAGACACATGGTGATGGTATATAATACAACTAAGAAGTACTGAAAAACCCTGTCTTATGGTGCTAATAATCACAAATACTAATGGCCCAAAAGTGGACACTGTATTATAAATAAATAACTGGCCACATGTACTACACAAGGAAAGCACTATTACATCAAGTGTAAAAGAGGGAAATTTAATCATAAAGTTGAGGCTCTGCAAGAATCCTCCTTGTTGAAGAAGAGACACAGCAGTGAATATACTAGAAAAAAAATTTACAAAACACATCATTTGAATTGGTTTCATTTCATATGTCTTAAATAAGCTTCCTTGCCAGTTTGCAGTAAAACTATCAAATGCTATATAAGAACACAAAAGTATCACACCAGAAAATGTAGTAACAGTTGAATTTGATCTATCATTACCTGTATCAACCATAAATAATAACATTCCAAGTGAGAGAATTACAGCAGTCACATACTCATAATATTCATATTTTGTTTTAGACATAAATCTTCCCATTATCATCACTGGAATTGTTTTACTTGCCTTGGCAAGTACTTGATGAGGGAATGAAACATATTTTAATGCTTCATACTGACACCAAGAACTCATAATATTAGAAAATGAGCAAAACACATATTTATACAAAGGGCATTTATGCCTAGGTTGTCTCTTACATAGTAAGATGCATGCAGACACTAGGAACGCTAAAATTCGATTAACAAAAACTAGAAATTGAGAATCCTTAAAGTATCCAATGTCTTTGCTGGAGCTCTCATAAGCTTGTGTCATGACTTTTTCTTGAAGAACACCCCACAGTAAGTAGGAAAGCTGGAGACCGAAAAAATAAAACAAAAGTAGGAGCCCATCTTGTAAAAGGGTTCTTTCTTGATGAGGGGAATGTACGTTTGTAGTCACTGGTAAGGTATCTTCTTCACCGAAACATGTTCTTATAATAGCTCCAATCAGTCCTCTGCCACTTTTGTTGATATAATTTGTTTTCTGTACATACCTAAGAACTAAATAACCTGGTAGGAATAATGTCGCATATCCTAAAATATTCCTAATCCCATGTATTATCCAGCTATATTCTTCTGGAGGATTTTGAACCAATTCAGTGTTAAGAACAGTTCTATTCACAAAATAGAGGAACACTATTGAAATCAACACTATAAGACAAATAAAAACTTCTGAATTATTTGCCATGTTGGTTAAATAGTTTACATTTTTAAATTCTTCACTCGTTTATTCTCTAGCACTTTTAATTGTGTGGTAAAGTAAATTCTAGCTGTCATCATCATTTTTATTTTATCATGACGTAACACGTAAATAAAAATTAGACTTTTATTCTTCTAATTTCTATGATGACCTCTTGCCTTTGGGGTATCAGCCAGTCGGTTAATTTCTTCTTGGCTGTATGTCTTTAGGCAAGAGGCTATTGAAGGAGAAGCTAAGAATTAAGAAGAGGAAGATAATTTTTTGAAAAATGTAAATCACGGGGGTTTATATCATATGCACAATACGTAAACACGTTTCTGCGCATACTCCTCCGCGCTTGGGTGCTCTAAAGTCCGTTTTACAATAGCAAAATTGTATTAAAATGTAAAGCACATTGATTAATTTAATAACATCTCGTTCAGTAACACACAAAAAGTGTTGTTTCAAAAATTTTAATTCATATATTACAACAAACTAAAAAAAAAATACCTTCACTTAGTTATTTGTACTATGTGAAGATGGCTTTCTGTCCGCTGCATGACTGCTGGCTGCCCGCTATAGCGGGCCCCGCGCGCGCTGTCAACAAATAACATCAAAACCAAACAAATGTGTGGGGTTATGTTATGATTTGGTTTTTGCTTGTCGACAAAAACATGTGAGTGGAACTACTTTTATTTTTTTAGATATAAGTTATTTAGGATTATTTAAAATCAAGTAAAGGTATTTTGATGCTTTAACATGTCTTTACCAGGCAGAATTCATTATAAACGCATAATTTCTAATTGTTATAGTACATTTTATAAGGCCCATTCCAAACGTAAATTTTAAGAACATTTTTAAATTTCCTTCTGATATTGATCAAAGAACGGAATGGTGTCGTATTTTAAACATTCCACGTACAACCCCAATCATTATACATTATGTGAAAATCATATTTTAATACAAAATTGTTTACAAACACAAATCGTTCAAGACTGCTAAAAGATTTGCTTTACCTTGCTTTAGCATCCTCAAAACCAGATACATCAAAGATAGTAGTACTTAGTAATATTGTTATCACACCTCCAAACAGAGTCCTGTGAGGATAAAGTTCATTCTAATAATATATACAAAATTAATAAATGAAGCAGAATTTGAGTCTAGCCACTAGTTATGTTGCAGGGTTTATTAAGAAACTTAATAGTTTTGACTGCAAAGAGTGTAAAGTTAATTTACAGACATGTTAGAAGACCATCGATACTTTTACTTATTTTAAAGATTTTATTTATGTACAAAGAAATGTTATTGAATTTCTTTCAAAAATTCTTGAAATAGTTTCACAACTTTTGGGTCATATTGACAACATAATTCAAAAAATTAAACTTTTTTGCCAGACCATGTTGATTTTAAATGGTTTACATCAGAGGCGACTCGTGGCCTAGTCTATGAGGAGACTACTTTTAAAAGGCACACCCTATATACTTAATAAAATTATATGTCTATAAGAATTCAAAAAGCAGAAATATTACATTGTATTCTAATAGAAATATATATTTGTATAAAGTATATAGGATAAGCCAGCTTCCTCACAGACTAGGCCACAAGCCGTCTCTGGTTTACATATAAAGAACATAAAACGGACGTCTTTTCTCATTTCGTTGAAACTTGTCTACTATTAATAATAAGAAAGTATTATAATGCAATGTCTAAAAGACAAACAAAATTATTTGAAGTTACTGCATTTAATTTTTTTCTGTTTCAGTTAATATGGATGGTTGCTTTTGTCTGATTTCCTAAGATTCAAGAAGAATTTGTTGTTTTGTTTTTTGTTTATTTTAAAAATTTATTTACTTAGGCATTAGTTTTCATATCAAGTAAATTAATTATTTGTTATGCAATTTCTGATTTTTGTTAGCCAGAGATTGTTAACGTACCGAAATAGTAATGTAATGTTTGTGATATTAGAGTAACTTTCTTAAAGAATCATTTATAAGACGTCCGGGAGCGCCATAGTAAATAATAATAATAATAATAATAGACATTCTTGCTTCGCATAAGCTCGCTTGTATGGGGGTGAAGTGCATGAAAAATTTTTTTGTATTGCCATCTCTTTGATATATTTTTTATTTATTTTTCTTGGGAATTTTTAGTAAATATAATTATATAAAACTTTGTATGATATTTATTTTATCCCTCATAATTATATGTCATAGAATTTTACATTTTTATTGGGCATTTCATAATTGTTACAAATAGCTAATAAAAAAGGAAAATTATAATTAAGAGGAAAATTTACTTAAGCAATTATCGTTTTCTAAACAATACGAAATAGAGCCACAAATATTTCTATAGTTTAATTTTACTTTTTAGTGAATGAAAAATATATACCTTCAGGTAAAAGTGAAATATCTGTTTTTCTGGAGCCACTATTCCGAAATTTGATTTAATTATTTTCTCAATTTTTGAAATCTTTATAAAAACAAAATTTTGCGATTTACTGCCATCAAAATTTGATTAAATTTTGAAAGAGGAACATATTTTAGCTACACGTACATGTTTTTTATTTCACTAAAAAATTAAAAAAATTACTATCAAAATTTTGTATGGCTATATTTCGTATTAGTTAGAAAATAATTGCAAAAGTAAATTCTCCTTTAAAAAAACTCACCAATTTTCAAATTAAATATAAAATTACGGGTAACTGCATTACCGACAGAGTAAGAGTTGATGGTAATACTGCTGGTAACTACATTACCGACAGAGTAAGATTAGTTCGACTCCTCCACCCCACAGGTCGTTGCAATCAAACATGTTGCCAAATTTCTACAAAGAAACGGCAACTCTTAATAATCCTTCCTCCATGATGTAAATACAAAAAACCTTTGTATAAAAACATTTGTATTCTTTTTTTAACCTGTTTTTAATAAATGATTTGGCAGTGATGGTCAATTAAAATGAGACAAAATGGCACACTTGGAAAGAGTCATAATATTAATAGATATGGATTGTTTTTATTGTCAAGTAGAGGAAAAATTGAACCCTAATTTGGAGGGAAAACCAATTGCAGTTGTGCAATACAATCAATGGAGAGGTGGAGGGTAAAATATATTTTTAATTTTTTTTATGAAAATTGTATCGAATGCTTTATCATTTAGAAACTTGTAAACGTGTAATGCAAAATTAACATTTTAAAAAATATTCAGTCTCGAAATGAAATCTAAAATTCATATTTATGTTAAGTCTGAACATGCCTTACCTAGGGTTGCCATCTCTGTGGATAAGAAATACGGGTGGTAAAAAAAACAAAAATCAAATATTTATTATAAAAGTTATTGCACTTTTGTAAGATAATTCTTAAGTAGGTATGAAATTTTACAATATTTTTGGCCCGATATTTTTTTACTTTAAAGTTTATTTTTTACACTGCGGACAGCTTGCAATACCTTTTCAGAAAACTATACATGTGTATTAGAAATTGGTTACCTGAATTTTTTGACCAAAGTTTATTAACTATGCTAAAACACGTTCGGCAGTGGCGTTTGAAAATAAATGGGAATCGATAGAGCAAATTAAATTATTTTTTTTTTATTTCTTTGCCTGATTTATCCAGACGTTTTCTCTCGTTGTTTTGCTAACAATAACATCACACACTTCTTGCAGTTCTTTTATTTGGGAAAAATCCATTGGAGAACCATTTTTTCTCCAAAAATATTGAGGCTAGTGCCCATAGGCAAGCCACTGTTAAAGCTGAAACTTATTTTTGTATTGAAAAATATGCACCATTATGACAGTAAATATTACATATCACTAAAATATCTCAAGCAGTTATGAAAATATTAATTTTCCTTGCTTTTCCAAAACTTTAGCACCCTGTATTTTCGTAACAGACAATTTTTGGACCATAGTTTATAAAGCAAACTGTCATTAATTTTACATGTACATTCACACCCTTAAATATTCGCATATCATTAAGGAACACCCTATATATTAAGGGAAGTATACAGTATGGTTCAAATGAAAGGAATACATTCATTATAATGGAAGTAGTTGGTTTTTCGAAAAACACTACTTCCATTATAATGAATTTGTTCCTTTCATTTGAACCATACTGTATAAGATCATGATTTTTTTGACCTTGACTTTTTGATGGGTCTTTACGTTTTGGGGTCCAATAAATCTGATTTTACCATTTTCGTGATGATTTCTGTCTGTGTGTGTCTGAATCCTCGATAATTCAAAAACGGATAAAGAGAATAACACCAAATTTAAACTATAGCTTTAATCAGTGCCATCTTCATGCATCGACCAGCTAGGCCCTAGTCCCCTGTCACATGGGGGCCCCTGTCGAGTCGGCACCTATTTTCATCTCTCGCTCACAGGTTTATGAATAATAAGTATTTATTTTTTTAAAGTAGGTATTCAAATAATTATTACCATCCTGTCCTACCATCTAACTTTTTTTTTAATTTGTGGAACCTAATGATAATTTAACATAAAGACTCCGACTCTGCAACTCAGATATTCTGCTAAGCTTTAATCAATCGCAGATGGCAGTAATATTCATTAAAAATCACGAAAGATTTAGAAATGCCAGAATAAGATTCGATATTTTATTTACTTTAGCCCCAGCAAAAGTAATTTTACAGTAGCGACAGCTTGTGTCAGCTCCTTTGATATCGGGGTATTCAGATTTTTATTGACAGTTGACATTTTTGCCGCTTATTTCTACACTGAGAAAAGTAACTTCGAACTATCTTGTCCCTTTATCTGTTTGAATAAAATATCATACAATACATGAAAGAACAAAACTTAGTCTAAATTTAATAACAATGTATTAAAATGTGAATTTCAAACCAATCAAATAATCAAAACAATGAACGACCATTAATCCATTTACAATCAACATATGCCAGTTTGACATATTTGCCGCTTATTTACGGGCATGCGCAGAAAAATATGGATCTCTCATAAACATAGAACTGTCGCTACTGTATCATTACTTATACTGGGCTTTAGAGGCCGTTATAATTGTGTTAATACATTGACATTGTTTTTTAAAGTAGTTTTATTGAGTTTTGAATCGTTATGTATTGTTAGAAAGGTAAAATCAGTTTTTATTTCTGCA